GCCTGGTGTCATTCTGCTTACTGTAACAAGCATATAACAACATCAATCCAAACTTGGAAAACACAAATTTATTCATCCAATTACTTCACTTAAACATTATCATACATACTCTCAGTCTCTCTACTCATATCCTCATATGTGTTCTGTTTCAGTTTCACAAACTCACCATACAACAACTGAGTCATTTGCATTTTTAGACGTGCTCTTTCAATCATAGTATACACATATCCAACTTTCTTTCTCAAGCTACACTCAATAATCCCATACATGCCTGAGCAATCATGATCTAGACAATTGGGAGTGCGATATTCAAAACTCCAGTGACTATGGGGCTCCATCCCATCAATGTTTCCCACCATTGGTGTTTCGCAGTTTCAGCAAAATGGTCTAGGATGTGAATAATTTCATGGTTGTTGTGTACTACCTTAATATATATCTGTTCGGCATTTTCTGTGTTAGCAGTGAACGACTGTTGTACCCCGTCATGTGTGATTAATCGTCTTAGTATGGACTAGTCCATCCCAATATGAATGGGCCTGACCTCATTATATATAGACAAATTTGCAATTAGCATCAGAGTAGGTATAGACTGTAGGTGTAAGGCACCACAAGATTCACGTTGCGTTGGAGGACATGGGTAGTATGGCAGGTACAGAAATTTCTGTTGTGCCAACACACACTAACATTCACCTGATGGTTTAAAATTACATAGGGGTACCACGTACTTACACAGATACATTGTTTACTGACTACAGAAATACTAGTAGTGGAATTGTCTGTAGGGAATATTTTAAAATAGCATTCACTAGAGTTGTTGTCATGAGGAGTCCAACACAAGTCCTTCACTAGAGTTATTGTCATGAGGACTCCAACACAGGTCCTTCGCAGGGCGGTGAACCCCCTCACAAATATATCCTCGTCCTTCTTGGACAATACACAGACTTACATCCACCAGGACTATTTGCTTGCTATGATTACCAACTTGTGTCTGAAACCTAAGCAACTGAGTGTCTAACTTTGGTAGGAACAGCGAATAGTTTATTCAATTTTCTAAGCTAACAATAGGGTGGATAACATTAATTTTTGCCTCAGTGATGGTGTGAATAGTTGCCAACATGTTTCTTTTCTGGCTTATTCAAAATGTGTTAATCTCCACCAGTCCGTAAGCACCAACTCAGTTTCCATAGCCACCTTTACAATTAACTGTTTGAATTCCAGTGGGATGACTCCCGAGTATCCTTGTCTTATGATACCACTCATGACCATTTATTCACATGACTGAGCCTAGGCACAAGATAAAGTGAGTCTGGTACTATCTGGGGACTTTTCTAAAACTTTTATGACCAGCAGTTGTTCTAGTTGACTGGCTTGATGCCATACTGGTAACACATGGGCATTATTTATTACTTGATGCATGATCTCGAGGATCGAGGCAGTAATTGGCTTCTTTACTTATTGTAGCCACTTGGCAGCTTGAGATAATTCATTCATTATTACTTCAGTACTAGTTGAATTCACCAGACCTAAACCGATACCTATACCACCTAAAAGACCTCCAGAATCCCTCTTAGTCTGTAATATCTGAAGCCCACCGAAGTCTAAGGGTCAACAGGTCACAATAAGATACCATACTGAAGGTTAATGAGAAGTCTGGAATTACTATACTATATAAGTTAAGCAACAGTGGCCTGTTATATCAGCATCCAAGCCTTAGGGTGCTAGACCATAATTAACATTCTCCTAATGACTCAGGCCCCATCTCTGAGAGCAAATTTGGTGTCTAGTGCAATACCATCCCCTACAAGGAAACCCTCCAAATTGTTACATGGTTATAGGTCAACTACTTTCTGGTCAATTAAGCAAGACAGGGCTGTAGCAGTAGGCTGGAAAAGCCAGACTAAAAGCTGAATTTTGATCAAAATCAGAACAAGAGGCTAATACTTAATAGTTTTATTACTTATGTGGTTCATTCAAATTACATACTGAGCTTTCATGTTTCTCACCCCATTCTCATTAGGAAGCTGGGGGACTGTGGCGTAGACACCCATACAGTCCAATGGGTCGCCAACTGGTTAGAGAGTCGCACCCAGAGAGTGGTAGTGGATGGGTCCTCCTCGACCTGGATGGACGTGGGAAGTGGGGTCCCACAGGGCTCGGTCCTTGGGCCCGCCCTGTTCAATATCTTCATCAGTGATTTGGATGAGGGGGTGCAAAGCACCCTGTTCAAGTTTGCTGATGACACTAAGATGTGGGGGGATGTGGGCACATTAGAGGGGAGCAACAGGCTACAGTTGGACCTAGACAGGTTACAAGGATGGGCGGAGGAGAACAGGATGGGGTTTAACACGGACAAGTGTAAGGTGATGCACCTGGGGAGGAACAATCGGCACCATACATACAGGCTGGGGAACTCCCCTCTTGTCAGCACGGAGGTGGAAAAGGATCTGGGAGTCATTATTGACTCCAAGATGAACATGAGTCGGCAATGTGGGGAGGCGGCTAGGAAGGCCAACTGCACCTTGTCGTGCATCCACAGATGCATCTCGAGCAGGTCCAAGGAGGTGATCCTCCCCCTCTATGCGGCACTGGTCAGGCCGCAGCTGGAGTACTGCGTCCAGTTCTGGGCGCCGCACTTTAAGAGGGATGTGGACAGCATCGAGAGGGTCCAGAGGAGGGCCACTCGTATGATCAAGGGACAGCAGGGTAGGTCCTATGAGGAAAGGTTGCGGGACCTGAACCTGTTCAGCCTTCAAAAGAGAAGGCTGAGGGGGGATCTTGTGGCCTGTTATAAACTGGTTAGGGGGGATCAGCAGGCGCTGGGGGAGTCCCTGTTCCCCCGAGCGCCGCAAGGAGTGACCAGGAACAATGGTCACAAGCTGGCGGAGAGAAGGTTTAAGTTGGACATCAGGAGGCGCTACTTCACGGTCAGGGCGGCTAGGGTCTGGAACCAGCTTCCAAGTGAGGTGGTGCAGGCTCCCACCCTGGGGGTTGTTAAGAGGAGGTTGGATGACCACCTTATTGGGGTCATTTGACCCCAGTGCTCTTCCTGCCATGGCAGGGGGTCGGACTAGATGATCTGCTCAGGTCCCTTCCGACCCTAGAAACTATGAAACTATATAAACATTTTATTCTGGCCTTGTCAACAGAAAGCAGATTGGGGTTTTAGTAGAGACTATGTATTATGACTATGATTTCCAACAGGACTGGCTTTACTAAATCACTGGTCCCCAACCTTTGCTGGCCCTTGAGTAACAAAACTAAGCTGAAACATGATGTGGGTAATGCCATATTTACCTCTCGCCAAGAGCCTTTGTTTGAACTCTCTGACTTTTGGGGGCAGTGATCAATATCAGAACATCTCACAGGCAGTCCCACAAGACAGCGGCTGGGACCATTGCCCTAAGTATTGCTTTACAACCTTCAGTTTAGTTCTTTAAATCCTATTTAATATTTCTTAGGGCCTTGTTACACCTTATGCTGTAAGCCAAACAAATGTTAATTGGCTTTAAAACTATCTTTGACTGTTCTTCATCTGCACAGCTGCAACTTGCCACTAGAGGCTTGGTGATCATGGGCAGGACTGAGCTAGGGGCAGAACCAACTCACTGCCCCTGCTGGACAGAACAAGCACCACAGCTCCAGCGTGCCTGACAGCTACCCACCACCACCCAGAATGGCTCGTTGCTTAAAATTCAAGGACCCAATCCTTTTACTCTCTGGAGCCCACCACCCCTGCCCAGGTTGCTGGCTAGGTGGCCAGGTGCTACCTGAGCTCTGAAAAGGATCAAGACCCTTGGAGCTCAGGCAGTGCCCAGTTGGCCAGCCAGCAACCCACCTGGTGGCAGCATAGAGGGGGTGAGCTTCTGGCTGGCCATGCTGCCTGAGCTCTGAGGGGCCTGATCCTTTTTTTCTCAGGAGTTTTTCTACCCTGCAGCACTGCCAGTGGGAGCAGTGAGCTGGTCTGGGCAGTAGCCGGATGCACTGCAGTAGCTGGGCACTCCAGGTCTGTGTTGTTCACTCCGCCCAACATCCCTGAAGGGCAAGGTGCCATGCCTAGCCCTGCTGCACCCTGACTCAGGAGGGGCCACTGCATCCTTGGATGCTGGAGGTCTTCAATTTAAGCTAAATAGTTATAGGGAGTGGCCACCCCTTAATGGAACAGGAACCAAATTAGGTGGATTAGAAATAACCCTGACTTGGAGTAGTGTAACTTTAAACTGAATAACAAGTGCTTTAAGCCACTTAAAGATATTAACATGCAGCCAATTCAGGGGTTAAGAGCTCTAGAAGCCACCTAAACTTACGGTGTAACAAGGCCCTTAGCCCTGCCTCCAGATCCTACAACCTTTTCTCACAAAGCACACTCAATTAGTAGCTAATGTTATGGGGTGAGTTATGATGCAGTAGGGTTATCCTAACTTGAGGCAAAGCGGGCAAAGCTGGGCTCATGCTCCCTTTTTGGGTTAATGCCATACAGAGCATTTGATAAATATGTGTTGTACCATGGCAGGGTTGCTGCATATTGTTAAGCAAATGTAGTAGATATACAATCATTTGCCATGAAATGGACTATCTCTTCACATCTTGCTTTACTACAACAGGCCCTCTTTAACAGTTATTTTACTAAGGCATCAGCAGCAGTTTGGTCTGAAACATAGTTAATGCTCTTGTGTACTACTCCATCCATTTACCCTGTAGTTCTTCTGGAACCAATAACTTCAGCATAAGCTCCTCCCTTTCTCCCCTTTGTAGAACAGTCCTATAGAAAAGCATTAAAGCATGGGGAGTGTGTGTGTGTGTCTTGCCGGGGCGGGGAGGAGGAGAGAGGCAGACAAACACACAGAGAGGTTGCATAGCAAAACTACTTTGACACTGCTTCCCTTCTCCATTTACCTATTTCCCAACTGAGGTTTTCTTTAGGGCATTTTAACTGCTATTTATGCTTTACAGGTAACAGTTCTCTGGAAAGTATTATTTACCAACACTGTTTTTTTCTTTTACTAAGTCTATTTTTCAGGTAAAGATGACCCAGAACGCTAGATCTCTGGGCTGTTCTCCCCATTGGACTGGGAGCTGTTCTTAGAGTTTGTCCTTTCCAAAGCCAATGCTATGTCCAATTCTCTCAGCTGTTTCAGGAAGCCACGATTCGGGAGGACACATCGGTGTTTCACCACTTGCTCTATGGCATCAACGACAGTCATGTTCTTATAGATCATCAGGTAAGCCAGGACCAAGGCAGCTGATCGGCTGCGGCCCATCGCACAATGAACCAAAATCTTATCTGCAGAAGCAAGGAAAAGAAAATGCAGAGAAGATGTAGAGATTTGTAATACTGTGACAGATTGCCACTCAAGCTCAGAGAATGTTACAGTTGTTAATAATGAAGTTTTTGCAAAACTGCTGTAGCCCCTCTGAGTGCATCTTCCTGACCTGTGAGTTAATTACTTTGACCTTAGGCAGAAGGAGTGAAACACAAGTGCCAGCCATGTACCAGTCCCTGAAAGGTGGTGAGCTTCTGTCCCCTAGGAGGATCGAGGCTCCATTACCAGCAGCCACAGTGGATGACTTAGTGCAGGGCTGTCAAATTACAGGCCATGTGCAGGGTATGGCCTGCAAGCTCACACCCAGCTGCCACTGTCCTCCACTTCCTGCCATTGCTCCTGCCTTGGTAGTTGGGGTCCTCAGGCTCCCCTGCCTTGCTCTGGCTTCTACTTCCTGCCCCCACTGCTGAAGGTGGGGCAGGGTGATGCAGCGGGTGGTCACTGGAGTGCCTGTGCTGGGTATGTGGCAGGAGAGAGGCCTGGGTTGCTCATGCTGCACTTGAGGAATGCAGGAATTGGGCTGCCCACGCTGCAAGTGGGTGCATGGTCATGGAGGGATGTGTGCACAGCAGGGGGGTTCCCTGTGCTGTGAGGAGGGAGGGGAGGAAGGGGGGGGATCCAGGCTACTCACACAAAATATGCAGTCAGGAGAGGAGGAGGGAGCCAGGCTGCACATGCTGTGTGCACAGTGGAGAGGAGGTTGCACTGAGGACTCTTTGGAGCCGGGGGTGTATCTTACCCCATGCAAGTACAGCACCTGGTACAACACTGTACTGGCCTCCAATAAAACCACATAGGCACTGCTGTAACACACAGAGTGGAACCTTCCTTTCCATTTGCAGCAGCCAAAGTGGGGCGAGGAGAGAAGGAGGAGAGTGAGCAGGCTTGGGCAGGGTAGAATCCTTTGACAGGTTGCTGAACCGAATGCAAATGATTCTGGGAAACAAAGTCCCCTGAAGGGAAAATCTGTATCATGGGAGGAAAAAGTTGAAGTACCAACACAAGCATTCTCTGGAGTTGTTTCTATTTCATCCTGCTATGGGCAGTTAGCACAGAAATGTCATTTAAAGGCCACAGGTATTTTTTCTTTGTTAGCTATGTCCAGTAAGAAATGCCTGGATCCAGGCTTGACTCCTAGCAATTAACTCCTTGATGCTGTAAGTGGAGGGGAGGGTTTCTTGGCATGAGTATAACTGCTACATAAGGGACACATCAAGAACTGCCAATGCTGAAGGGATTAATGGTCACAGTCTGCATCTTAATCCCAGCAGATAGTTTGAGGCATCTTGGCAAATTTCCAGTCTCGTTGATAACTAAAGTGCCTCTTCCTCTCATGGAAAATGTTAATCCTTTCCATGATTACACTTAATATTTGAAACAGATGAAAACTTGCATTCACTCAGTGCTTTTCTTGTCTCACTACAGCTTTCCAGTTTGTAAATGGATCAGAGCTTAGAGCTCGGATAATGGTAAATGATTCGCAAGAGGGCAGGGCTGGAGAATAAACGTTTTGCTTGGGGGAGTGGGAAACCAAAATGAAACTGCCGGACGAGCACAAAGAAGAAAAGCCTAAAAATTATTATGATTTAGTAGAAGTTCATGCCATTCCCTGGCGGGTCTCTTAGGAGATAAAGATGGAAGCCCTGACTTTTGCCTGGTGTATTAAAGATCTTTGAGGCATGGGTTTGTTCTGTCATCCAGGGCTAAATTTCCAACTCCAGGGCCTGCCATCTCCGAGTTACTTGATTGTTTGGTGAAGTGGTGTGGGTGATCTATTTGTCAGGATTACCAGCAATCAGCCTCATTCAGTGTGACTGGGCAGCAGGGGCATATCAGGCAAACTAATGCCTGAAAAACTTAAATAGAGCCCTGCTCCCTCCTTCAGCTAATCTGTGCCAAAGGATTCAGGTCAGTAGCATAACAAAGGGTGGGTGGCCCACCCCAGTTATAGATCCTAGCTGTTCGTCTGCTGTAGGCTGCTCTGCACATGCTTCCACTGTGCTTGCTGCGTTACTCCTGCATGATTGGCGTCTTGTTCCTGATGTTACCCCTGGAACATAACACTCAGTTCCTCACTTGGTTTCTATCTGCCATTTCTTGTGATCCTGGCTCCCTGACTCCTTGCACCAAACCCTGGGTCTGGATTGACTTCTGATTCTCAGCCCTAACAACTGGTTGTGTTGTGGGCTGTCTGTGGTACCTAGAGGGTCCCCATCATCACAGTATCTGAGCACCTCACAGTCTTTAATGCACTTATTTTTGCAGCATGTCCCTTTTTGCATGCACCAGGATGTCAAGAAATAAATTACTTGCCCAATGTTGCACAGGAAGTCTGGGAGAGCAGAAAACCTAAGTCTTATAAGTCCCAAGCCAGTGCCCTAACTGCTGGGCAATACTTTTTCTCCACTATGAGAACCTATGCTCTAAACTATGCCCTGGGAAAGACGACCCTGGGAAACAAGAAAGAAAGTATCATTATGCTCCTTATAAATCTTGGTGCATTTACACTGTAAAAACAGTGTGTGGCTTTGCTTCCACCACTTTAAAGGGGGTATAGGAGAAACTGAAAAGGAACTGAGAAGGGCAGCAGGGATAACCAGGGGTATGGAGGTCTTTCCATGTGATGAGAGACTAAAATGGATTAGGACTTTTTAGTTGAGAAAAGAGACACTTGAGAGGGGACATTATAGAGGTTTACAAGTTATTAAATGGGACAGAGAAAGTAAATAGATGTTTATTGACTGCCTCCCATATACTAGATCTAAGGGACATACAATGAAATTGTTAGGCAGTAGATTTTAAACTGACAATAGGAAGTTCTTTTTCATACAGGGGTTGTAATTAACTTGTGGATCTCATTGCTGACAGTTTAATTCAGTCTAGAAGGAAATTGGAGACCTTCATGGAGGAACAGACCTTTGTCCATCAGTAGGTATTGAACATGGTAGATAGGGTGCAGCCTTTGAACCAGAACTCCTATTTCCCTGAATGCTGGAAGCAGCAGTGGGTGAGGAGCAGGGGGTGGAAAATTTTAAGCACGCTCTGTCCATATCCTCCTCAGCATCCTATCTCTGCCATGTACAGGGTATTGGGCTATACGGACATGCTGACCAAGGAACTGATCATTCTTATGTTCTTTACCTACAACTAAAAGATCACACGCTCTAACTGCTCTGAATTCTGAGCAGGGAGAAGGGACCCGGAAAGACTGACTGTGCCCATACCCTGCTGCCGTTAATCCATCTGCTTCTGCTCAAGGTCCATGGATGCTGTGCTGGCCAGGAGTTTGTTTAAAGATGTCATTGCAAAGATTTCAAAAGTCAGTCCGTGTTATTGTGTCCTTCTATACATGAGTTTTGTTTTTCTGTAGCTTCGTCCAAGGCAGGACCTCCAAGATCTTTCCAAGTGTTAGTGTCCCTCTTTCAGGATAGGGAGAAGTAATGTCTCCATTTTACCAATTGTAGAGAAACTGTAGGGGAGAAGGCAGTGCCTTCCTCCTGGCCATGTTGTAAATTGATGGCAGAGCTGGGCATGGGATCTAGGTCTTGTAATACCAAGCTCAGTGCCATCAGAAAAGAATGTCCTTTACTATTAGATTTACTACTACTATTACATTCGGTATGTTGCCAAATCTGAAAGAAGGAATGTCATTGATTGAAAAAAAGGATCTGCAAAAAGAATTAGGCCAGGGAAGTCATGTCTCTTGCTTCAGAGAAGGAATGCTGACAGGAAATGTGTTGCCTCCTGTTTTATAAGGACTTTCAGAATTATCATGCCAATGCATATGGCCTGTTGGTTGACTCATCATGTTAAACTACTGGAATGTTTTGTTTTATCTGAAACAAAATTTCTTAGCTTTTTCTAGAGATGACTGTTGGTGTCCTCATGGCTTGAAAGCCCAGCTGGATAATAATAGATATATTACTGACAATTTTTAATACATTTCTGTCTTGGTCAAATACCAGTAACAGGACTATTGGTTTTGGAATAATTAGAAAATGTTTAAAAATTCACTCAAATTGCTAGCACATTTCCCCAAGGCATGTATGTGTTAGCTGTGAGTGGGCCACTGATTTGCATGGTGCTGTGTCTGTTCCTTGATTGACTGTCTGGTTCCTTATCAGGGTTCTGATGTGAATCCCATAGAATATGAACAACGAGCTTCCTTTCTGCAAGACTTCAACCTGGGTAATTGCAACTGTTCTCGTCTGTTAATAATTGTCTATGGAATCTGAATGCCTGAAGGCTGTGAACATGAATTTGGTTTATATGCCCAGCTGTAATTCAAAGTACTGAGACTTTATAGGGAGCGTTACCAATTGTGGGCATATGAAAAGAGCTCAAAGTCCACCCTCTGCTAGCTTTGTAGAGGGTGGGGAATCTTTTTCAACTACTCCGAGGCCCAGCTTGGGGCCATGAGGGGACATTTGAAAGACAGACATACATGTTTTAATGGGGATCCTTTAAGTGGTCATTTGCCATACTAGCTAGTGCCCAGACAGATTGCTGACTTTTGGGGCTTTTTTCTCTTGCATATATTTTCTTCAAGTCTGGAGCTGGCTGCTTTGGGATTGCCTTTCCTCTCTTCCAATCATGCTTTCATTGTTTGTTGTTCAGACAAGTAAAAATGCCTATTCAAATACTTCTGAAATTGTTGAAATGCTTTAAAATGGCCACCCACATCTGTTTATGAGGACATGGATGTGTGGCTTAATGGCAACATACTTGTCTATTGTATGAGTAGGAAACATTCTGTGCGCTTTATTTTCACTACATGAGCATCCCAGATCCTCGTTTCATTCTTCTATGGTTTTGAAAGGCATTAGTTAGCTTCATGTCACTCACATACCTATGAAGAAAACCCAGATTTCTGTCCCTGTTATCAAAATGACTATAAAGGCAGCAGGCAAAAGCACAGATATGCAAAGAGGTGCAGTTGCTATGCTTTTAGTCACTACTG